GCTCAAATAAAGATCACAATTGACCTTCCCCTTTATTCTTCTTCATGTAGCTCTATTCACAGTCACCCAGGTCAGGTGCTCCCCTCTGCCCCAGAGCCATCAGCCATCAAGTCCTGCCTACCAATCTGTCCCCTCCATGACTTCCTCTCTAACCATCATTGCCCCGGATCAGGTCCCCAGTATCTTTTTCCTGACTCAGTCAGGTATCCCTGCCTCCATCAGCTCTTGATTTGATCTTGTTGTTCCTTTGCTTTCAACTCTGTGATGCCCACCTACTCCCCATTAACCTAAGCAGTGGTTTTCAAAATGTGTCTGGAGGAACCTCAGCTTAATGGGTCTTGTTGAGGTTTTAATGAGTCCAGTAAAAAAATTCTGCTGAGTTTTAAACAAATTGAGAGACACAGGATTCCAACAGATGGAAATGAAAATAATCACGTTTATTACTGAAAAACAATATTGGAGGACATGGCTTAGCTCTGGCCAAGTAGCATGAAAACACTTCCCTGAATTAAACCACAGATGCCCTAAACCATATAAACATTTCTCCTCTTGAGACATGATTGTTCCTTAAGAGGAGGGTTTTCAGATATAAATAAAGGAGTGTAAATTTATGTGCAAACCCAGGAGTTAGACTCTTATAGAAGTTGTCAGCCAGCACTTCCCAAAGTGTGTTCCATGGAACACTAACCTTGAGAAGAGATGACCTGGAACAAAAATGTTCCATGGTCAAATGCCTTTAGAGAAAATTACACAATGTTCTCCCTTGAGAATCGTAATGCACCCATGAGCATATTAGAGGCTCCCTGGTCTGCAGTAAGGAATGACTTTGCTTATCAGAGGTTAGCCCATTGTTTCCCAAAATTATTTGACTTAAAAAAAACGTTGGGAGTGGTAAGTCTCTTTATATTTCTATGTGACAGAAACTCCATGGGAGGAAGGGCTTGAGCTTAACCCCCTCCCCCTTCTCTTCAACTCAGTTTTTCCTAAGTGGACCTTTGTTGTTCATTTTTGTTGCTTCTGATAGATTGTGGCTCTAAAGTGTCTTCTGAAATTTTGCTGTTTTGACATTAGAATGAGCACTTAGAAATGTTTTAATAAAAAAGTTTAGGACTCAAGTAGAGAGTAATAAGAGAATTATTGATTTCACAAACTAAGTGCAATTTATTCAAGGTTTACGTGTGACCTCTGAACTCTAATGCAAAGGCAAAGCCATTTGTAGCGGCTTTGTGGTTAAAAGTATTATGAAGTCCTTTGAAAGGTCCTTGGCACAGCTGAGACATGTGGAACCGTTTCAAAGTAGAAGATTCCTAACCTCCACATTACATTGGAGGTATGTGTCAGTTTGTTTATTAGAATACATGAATGGAGTAGTAAGTGCTGTGTTGGGAACCTGTCCTTGGCCCAAGACCATTTGGCTCCTATTCTTTAGGAAAGGGATCCACCCCCAACCCCAATCCCAGAGATCTTGGAGGTAACTGAAGAACATGGAAGAAGAAAGGTCTGCCTAGCTAAGCAATTTTGTGGAAAGGACCGTACACTTCTCAGTCTAGAGTCTTAATTACTCTTGCTCAGATGAGAATGACTATAAAAATGTATGTGGTCTAAATAGGGGAGAATAAATGTTCTTCGCCAGCTCTTGAATTGTCTTCAGTCGAAAGACATTTTGACCTGAGCCAGGAAGTAAGACAGTGAGGATAAAAACATCCGAAACCCATGAACATCTTCAAAGGTATCAGAGGATGTAATGAGCCCAAGTGTGGTTTGAGGGAAAGTAGCGTTAGCAGAAATGAGAACAGAATTTGCTAGAGGTTGGATGAACATCTAGGTCAATTTCTATAGAGTTCCAAGGAAAGAGAGGTTTTGACAACCACTGGCTTATTTGACCGATGCATTCAGGCCCTCAAATGGATTTCTTTTAAATATGTATGTATAAAGCCTGACAAGGCTCTTAATAAGTCAAAAACTTTCAATGAATCCAATAATTGTCAAAGCTCCTCTTCAGTTTGTATGAAAAACATACCCATAGATGTGCTTTCCAGGGTTAATGGTCATAAAATTCTAGTCACTCTTCTACCCATAGTTTACATATACCAAGTGAATTCAAATCATTCATTCAACACACTTTGAATTCCTGGTCCTGGAGTGATAAGGAGTTATTGTCCCTGCATTCAAGAAGCACAGTCTAGTTGGAATGACAGGCATATTAGCAAATTTAAACACCCTCTGGAGTGACAGAGTCAAGGATAAAAGTATGTGCTAAGAACAATGAGGTCTAAGGAAGGGGTGTCACAATGCCTGGAAGAGAGGATAGAGAGTCCTGTAAGAATAAAGGGGCAGTCTGGTAAGAAGGCAAGGGAACTTTATTATAAAAGAACTGCCTATGCAAAGGCTCCGAGGTCTTGAATTGAGAGTCCAGACATAAACTCTCACATTTATGGTCAATTGATTTTTGAAAAGGGTACAAGACAATTCAATAAGGGAAAGAATAATCTTTTCACCAAATGGTCTGGGACAACTAGATATCTACATGAAAATGTATGAAGTTAGACCCCTACCTTATACCATATACAAAATTAATTCAAGTTGGATTAGACCTGCCTTGTCCGGTTTGGCTCAATGGATGGAGCGTCGGCCTGTGGACTGAGGGGTCCCAGGTTCGACTCCGGTAAGGGCACATGCCTGGGTTGTAGGCTTGATCCCCGGTGGGGGTTGTGCAAGAGGCGGCCAATAGATGATTCTCTCTCATCACTGATGTTTCAATCTCTCTCTCCCTTCCTCTGTCTGAAATCAATAAAAATATTTTTAAAAAGATGGATTAGATCTAAATGTAAGAACTAAAAAACATAGGTATGACCTTGGATTAGGCAATGGTTTCTAAGATATGATACCAAAAACATAAGCAAGCAAAGAAAAACTAGATAAATGTGACTTCACCAAAATTTTAAAACTTTGTACTTCAAAGGACACTATCAAGATAGTGAAAAGACAATTCACAGAATGAGAGTAAATATTTACAAATCATACATCTGAGAATGGACTTGAATCCAGAAATATAAAGAACTCTTAAAAATTAATAATAAAAACTTAACTACTAATAGCCTACTGTTGACCAGAAGCCTAACCAATAACATAGTCAATTAACATATTTTGAATATTATATGTATTATATACTGTATTCTTACAATAAAGTAAGTTAGAGAAAAGAAAATGTTATTAAGAAAATCGTAAAGAAAAAATACATTTACAGTACTAACATAATTATTGAAAACAATCTACATATAAGTGGACTCAGGCTATTCAAGGGTTAACTGTACTCAAGGCCCTATTGGCACTTTTCCAACTTGTAGTACTAACCTCATAACGTTTTAAAGTAAGCTAAGTAAGTCAATATTTTGTAATTAGAGGAAACAAGTACTTCAAAATTCAGTGGTCAGATTTTTACCCAATAGGAAAGGGTAGTCAGAAAGTGTTGCTTTACAACATCTTATAACCTAACCTAACACTTGAACTCATGCTTATTAGCTATTTGCAGTGTTAATAAGACTTCTTTGTCTTTTGGGGGAACCTGAAGAGTAAGCAGAAGAAAGATGCTCAGCCAGGGTCCTTCTGAATGTCTGCTAATGTTGATTCTTTAGTTCCTCTGGTTGTGAGGTAGAAGGAACAAAGAGCTAGTGTATTATATACTGTATGTCATGGTGTCACCTGGTCAGAATCTGGGCACAGATGAACCTCACTTGGAATACTGTCCCTGCCACTCAGTAGTTGTGTGACCTTGTGCCAACTGCTTAGCATCTCTGTGCCTCCATTTCTATGCTTACCTTCATTTTTACTTGAGGGCTTATTTCAGTCGTAGGATGCCCATTTATAGTACCTTTATTTTAAAAAGGCTTTTAGTAGGCACTTATGAGTAATACATCTTGGTAATTTTTTCCTGATTACAAAAAAAAGACAGTGTTGAGATTTTCTGCACATCAGTATCTTACCTTCTTTCATTAGTTCTGTTTTATTTTGCTGTGTTTATTATTAAATTACTTGTCAAAGTACTTCCCTGAAACTCTGCTATCAATCAGGAAAAAAAGGAATTAAAAGATTTGCTTTCTAAATGTATTCTGTTACTAAGTTGTGGCTCTACTGGTGCTTAGCTAAAGCAGACAACACAGATGCAGAGTCAGAATGAGTATGCTTAGCTGTAGAACCCCATTCTTCTGATGGGTAGTGGGCAGTAAGGAACAGTGAGGGCAAGAGGCAGTGTACATCTCCTTGGCTCAAAATTGCCTTCTAAGGCCCCATTCATCCCAGGAATTCTTTGAGCTTACATAGAAGTCTTTGTTACAATGCAAATGCCCCAAAAGACCTATCAGTCAACCATCCAGGCAATTCCTTTTCATACTGTTCTAAGACCTGGGCAGAGAAAAGAGGTCCCTGTCCTAGAGGACCCCACATTCATTCTCTCTCTCTCTCTCTCTCTCTCTCTCTCTCTCTCTCTCTCTCTCACGCATGCACACACACATTAAGTAACACATGTATGCTTTTCTGTCACTGGGGACCTGATGTTCAGAACGGACACATCACTACCCCTAATCCTAAACTAAACATCCATTCTTGGGACCACCACCTCTCAGGCCCCAGGGAAAACTTTTCCACATTTTACCTTTTGTCCTCAAAACCAAGGCTCCTGGGTCCCAGTGCTGTGAAGGTTTGTGGGTTGCTGCTGCCAACATCTGAGCTAGACATTGTTCCAGAGGGCACAGGGGATTGAAGTGGTAGGAGCCTGTAGCAACAGAAAAGGCAGATTAATTAACTTGTCGATTCCTTCCTCTCAGACAGCATGAATTACACAGATTTTTGTGTAGTAGTGCTCTTCCTGCCAACGCTGAGCATCTTTTTCTTCCTTTCATTTGTGTTCCATTTGTAGTTTCTAAAGTCATGATGAATTAACATAACCACACAAAAAAGTGCATGTGGGCAGTTGAGAAACATGTTATAATATTAAACAAATCTTCCTTACCTGGTAGGGGAGATACCAGGATCACCAAGGTCTTTTTCCCAGGGGGAGGCTCACCCCATTGTAATCCTGGAGTGCTAACCCCTGCGATTTCCACAAATGCAGGAAACTCGACTGCATAATTTGTGGTAGTGGGAGACTGCACTTGTGCTTTCCCCTAAAAAAAAAAAATTCATATTACTCAAATATATTTGTAAATCTAGGGTAACATGATTTACTGGTATATTGGCAACTGAGTTAAAAGAATGAATGCTGGAATTGTGAATAGTTTTATTTTTGTAAAAATATTTAGAGTTAATTCTATTTTTGAAATGTCAAATAAAAACTGTAGCTTTATTTTTTTAAATATATTTTTATTGATTTCAGAGATGAAGGGGGAGAGAGAGAGAGACAGAGAGAGATAGAAACATCAATGATGAGAGAGAATCATTGATTGGCTGTCTCCTGCATAACCCCTGCTGGGATCAAACCCACAATCTGGGAATGTGCCCCAACCAGGAATTGAACCTTGACCTTCTGGTTCCTAGGTTACTCAACCACTGAGTCATGCCAGCTGGGCTGCAGCTTTATTTAAACAATTTTATTTATAACATTTTATTCATTATTAAGATTTTTTTCATGCTTTAAAAATAAAATTTCTTCTAAAATATTCAATTCAATTCTTATTTTTAACATTTATTTTCATTTACATTTTTGATGGAAATATATTCAAATCTGATACTCTGTGAATATAATGACATGTTAATTTTAATCCTTTAGATCCTATTGTCAATGGCACATAAATTATGTGTATATTTTAATTATAATGAAATAATTAGTGAATTTTTTCTGGAATGAAAGCAAAAAAATAAGTTATACTGGATATATAAATCATAAAATATGCCTTATGTTATCCTCATCCAAATCTTTCTGGGCCATCAACAGCACACATCCTATATAATAAAAGCCTAATATGCTAAGTGTCCGGTCGGCCGGTCAGCCATTCAACCAATCAAAGCATAATATCCTAATGATATGCTAAGGCCATTCAATGCTCGCTATGACATGCACTGACCACCAAGGGGCAGATGCTCTGACCAGTAGGTTAGCTTGCTGCTGGGGTCCAGCCAATCAGGACTGAGCGAGAATGGCCGGACACACCCTGGAGCCCTCCCGTGGTCCCTTCCCAACTGGCCAACCTCCTGTGTCCCTCGATTGTGCACCAGTGGGGTCCCTTGGCCTGGCCTGTGCCCTCTCACAATCTGGGACCCTTAGGGGGATGTTGGAGAGCCGGTTTCGGCCCGATCCCAGGCCAAGGGACCCCACTGGTGCACTAATTCGTGCACTGGGCCTCTAGTATAATAATAATTAAGGTCAGTTGTCTTTGATATTTTGCCAACTTTCAGTCATTTAAAACTATAGTTTTCCAATTTTTAAAATAGTTTTGCCATTATGAAGCCATATTTGTCATTATAGACGGAGAGGACAAATTCAATTTAACAGATTTATAATTTTTAAACATTTAGACCATTTGTACTCTAGCCTGGACCCCTACATATTTTAAGGATGGGCCCAATTGCTTCAATTAGATAATCAGATGATTCTTTTTCTAAAATTTAGCTATTAATAGTTAACTTATTGACACTAAGTATGTCAGACTTTAAATGAAGTAACTTCTACATATGAACCTCATTAAATCCTCTCAATAACCCGGGCCATAGGTAATTTATTACCTTCACTTTACAGAGAGGAAACTGAGGTTTGAGGAGTTTAGGTGGCTTGCTCAAGGTCATATAACCATGATGTCCTGGAGCTGGGACCTGCCCCAGGAGGTCTGCGTACCTTTAGGAAAGGGCACTCTGGGAGAGTTGACCTTGCTTGGCATCCCTAACAGAGAACTTGGACACACAGAAGGCAATGTGGAGGGTCAGGATGCTGGGAGAAAGGGCTGCAAAAAAAAAGTCCCCAACTGCACAGTCAAGCTTGAGATCCAATGTCACCTCCAGGGAAGAGCCGCAAGCACCAAAGGCTACCAAATGTCTGAATGGACAAGGACTGCCGGTGTCACTAAGTCTACACATTCTACTGATGTCAACAATGGGCACCTAAGAAAAAAATCCATTGATCTTTTTGCTCTTGAATGCCCAGTCATTTAACAGGCAGATTTAGAGGACTGGTTCCTCCTTTCTGCTTTCCATCTCTCTCCTCCGCTCCCTCCCTTCCCCCTTCTCTTTTAATAAATATATATCATGCCACGACAACACACTAAGCACAATGCTAGGTACTGAACAAAGCAGACAGGGCCTTGTACCTATGGAAATTATTATCTAATGGAGAGACAGACAGCAAGTCAACAGGAAATACTGAAAATTACGACGATGACACAAAACGTGGAGGAGAGGTGGAGCACACTAGGAAAGCATACCAGGTGAGTCTGGCCCAGTCTCAGGGTACCAAGGACGATTCCCTGAGAAAACAACATCTGAGCAGTGATCTGGGTGGTAACAGTGGTTAAGAATACACAGGTTCAGGAGGATATGACAGGCTGAGTGCCCTGTGAAGGAAGGGAGCCTGTGGGTTTGAGCATGAAGGCTCTGACTGGAGGCCAGTGAGGCTGGATATATGAATGGAGGGCAAGGTTCCAGACCTTCCAGATAAGGAAGTGCCCAAATTATGGCCCACTGCCTATTTTCATAAAGTTTTATTGGAGCATAGCCACCCTCATTTATTTACTTATGCTGATGGCTGCATTTGGCTACAATGGCACAGTTGAAGAGTTAAGACATAGACCTTATGGCCCACGAAGCCTAAAATATTTACTCTCTGCCCCTTAAAGGAAAAATCTGCAGACCTCTGACCCAAACCATGGAGGTCAAGGATCATGCCCTTTATCTTCACAACCGTGGGAAGCCATCAAAATGTTTTAAAAGGAAAGCGGATAGGAAATAATGGGATCTAATTTTCATGAGGAACGCTCAGAGGCCAAATAAATACTTACATTACTTTGGAGAGCCAGGCCCTCCAAAGACTCCTTTGAGGAAACTGGCATTAATTTCTGCAGGAATGGGTTCTAAGTCTCTTTCTTGCCCGTGGCAGGGGGCCCTACCAGTTTCTTCCTACCTAAGCCCCTTGTATTAGTCAGACTCCTTTGGGAGCAAGTGACAGAAATAGAATCTAAGCCTTCTATACAGCAGGAAGGGAATGTACTGGTTCATATCACGGGGAAGGGCAGCGGGGGAAGCTCAGAGAAGGCAAGAACAACAACAGAAAACAGAGCCTACCCCACTTGAACCTAGGGACTCGCCATCTCAAGAACCATCTCTCCATTCACTTTTCACCTTTACTTGACTCTGCTTAGCTTCCCGCACAAACATTTTCCACTGGGCAACTAACCCCAGAATCACATTCTGCCGAGGTTGGCCACCCCCAGCAGAAGGAGAGAATCTACTTCCAATGTCTGTGTCTTCTCCTCGGGATTGGATTCTGATGGGCCCTGCTTGAGTCCCATGACCACCCTCTCTAGAACAATCAGTGTCAGAAGGGATTGGGTACTATAAACTGGCCAGACATGGATCACATGCCTATCCTTAAGGCCAGGGGGTAGGGCCTGGGAATGAAAACCCTGAGAGCACAACCTAGAAGGGGAGACCAAATAAATAAATAACAAACATAACATAACATAACATAACATGACATAACATAACGTAACATAACATGACATAAAATGCAGACAACAGGATAGGGCTGCTATATTTGCCAGGCTGGTCCCCACAAGCTGTGAGGGAAAGCCACCGCTGCTCTCATGAGAGATCTGACTGAATCAGAGATCAGTCCTGGAACAGCCTGCAACACCTATGGGCTGGACACAGGGAGGCTGGTCAGCTAGCTCCGAAGTGACTCGGCACAAATGTCCAGCAGGAGCCCTCCACTGAGTGGCCGAAAGCTAACGAATCAGACCTTCCTGTTTGGAAATAGAAATGCCAGGTCAGCAAAAGAGGAGGGCTGTTTGCACTCAGGTTGACATTGCCAACAATACTTAGAAATGTGGCCAGGTTTCCGTGTAGCTCACTCCCCGTCCCAGGGTATAAATAGAAATCCACACACTAAGTCTCCTTGGCTGAAGGAAAGCCGGGCTTGTCTTCTAAGGAATTTGCCTGTCTCGGTCAGGACACAATCCAATGCTCTGGAAATTTCTCCCTCCGTCTTTTAAAGAATGGTTTCTGTCATTAAATTTCACACAGAAAGAAATGAACTACTCTTCTGGCAAAGAATATTACGGTCAACATAAAGATTCCCTCGTTGGAAAGGAATTTAAACACGTTGCCAGGTGGCCAGGGGAGATTTAATCACAAGGCTTTCTGGGAAGGAAGCTGAATTGAAAGCTAAGTATAATGGCAATAATAACCTAGTGGTAGCTTGGCAAGAGCCCTGGCTTCAAGCCCTTGTTGGGGATCATCCACAAATCACCGCTCCTCTCTTTCTTCCGGATAATGAAGTTTCAAAATCATGCATTCGTTCTACAGAGCTGGGTGGCTGCAGCAAGAGGCCAGTGTGGCTGAGGAGTAAATAAGGTAGAAGGTGGCAGGTGAGACCCCAGAGGTGACAGGGGCCAGGTCATTTGGCTTTTACCTTGCTTGAGAGTGGGAACTAGATTCATTTCTTCTGGCTGCTATAACCACTTACCACACACCTTGAGTCTTAAACAACACAAATTTAATTCTTACAGTTCCGAAGTTCAAAAGCCCAACCTCCAGCAGATCTCACTGGACTGAAATCGAGGTGTTGGCAGGGCTGCGTTCCTTTCTGGGGGCTCTCAGGCCATTTCTTTGCTGCCTCCAGCCTCTGGCTGCCCACATCTCTTGCTCCTAGCCCCCTTCCATCTTCAAAGCCAGCAGCCCTGGGTTGAGTCTTTCTCCCATCATGTCGTTCTGATCTTCCCGTCTGCCTCCCTCTTCCACTTTTAAGGACTCTTGTAATTACATTGGGCACAACAGGGTAATCCAGAGTAATTGCCCTATTTTAAGGTCAGCTGATTAGCAACCTTTAATTAGCAAACTGTCTGCAACATTAACTCCCCTCTGTCATGGGGAATTCTCACAGGGATTAGGATGTGGACATCTTTGGGGTTGAGGGAGCATTATTTCACCCATCACAGGAGCCACTGGTGTTTCTGAGCAGATG